GAGTGTTTCCTCAGAAAATACTGTACTGTACTTGTATGTATTGTTTACTTGAGAATATAACAGAGAATAAACTGCCCAAATACCCTTAAACAAAGGAAAAGTACGTCCTTTATGAAGGCATACAGCCTTTACTACATGAAAATGAAAATTAATGAATACACTGTGTACAATAATTTACCTGATAAGACAGACCTCAGAAAAATACTTTATGAGAGCTTTTGTACTTTTATAAAGCTGTCTATAATGAAAATTAATTAACTAAGGAATTTTTTTCCCTGCCAGGGTGTGGCCGAGTTATCCGGAGTGCCGGGTTATCGAGAGCCGAGTTTTCGAGGTTCTACTCTGTACTACTATTTTAAATTATCGTTATGTTAATTATTATCTGAATACACATCATGGACAGTTTTCACAATGTTTTAACGTACAAGTTTTGCATTTTCCCATTACAATTCCTCTTTTCATATGGCACACATTCAACTGATACTGATAGTGAAGTTTCTCCCCAAACTCTGTCTCATTGAGTTGGTTTGCCATATTTATCATGACTTGATATAGTTGTGATTGAGGTTCTGTGAAAGCACACCTACAGACTTAAGATAGGCAATATATACAGTTTATTTACAATATATATATATTTACTGTTTTCCTTCCAACTTTTATACTCTATATACAGTGGTACCTCGTATAACGTACTTAATCTGTTTCAGGTGCACGTCCGTTAAGTGAAAAGTCCATTATACGAAATGCGTTTTCCCATAGAAATACATGTTAAAACATATAATTCGTTCTGCAGCATAAAATAACTGTACCATACCATAAAAAAAACGAAAATGGAGCAGTCACCAATTATGCCAGATAGTCAGATGTTGTGAGTCGGAGGTGGAGGAACACTTTCTTCACACATTCATACAGATACATACTTTTTACACATTGCAGCAGGTCTCTTTTTATTGGTTTCTTCACACATTCATACAGATACATACTTTTTACACATTGCAGCAGGTCTCTTTTTATTGGTTTCTTCACACATTCATACAGATACATACTTTTTACACATTGCAGCAGGTCTCTTTTCATTGGTTTTTAATCGGAGTCAGATTCAGGAGAGACTACCAACACTTGCAGAGTCAACTCCTCTTGTTCCATCCTTTGTTTTTTGGCAGCTGGCTTCTTGAAAAACATGTCCAAGGTAGTCTGTTTCTCTCTCTTCTTCAACATCTGTCGGAAATGACGGGCAAGGGTGTCATTGTAGAGATCATTGATCCTGTTGGCCTCACCTGTGTTTGGATAATGAGTGTTGGTAAACTCCTGAACCTCTCCCCATTTGATAAGTTTTTGTCAACTTTCACTTTTTCTAATGATTTCTTGTTTTGTTTCAATTGAAATCACCTTTCTGTTTTTTCAGAAGCCATGATTAGCACAACACTTGAATAAATGTAAATATCCTGCACTGAGATGATGTACGTAATAAACAAGGATGCAAGCCGAATCCCAATGGGAGCTCTGTACTTCAGTTATACTAATAATATATTCTAATAATACTTGTATATTCTAAAAATAGCAGATTGGCATTGGCAAAGGC